GAATTACTCCTGCACTTCATTTAAAGTAAGACTGAGACACTTGATAACTGACTTTTACTCTCAGCTTTTAACTAACAAGTTTTTTACATTTAAGTCCACTCTTAGCAGCATTCTGAAGAGTATTTCTAAGAAGTTTGATAAATACAGGCCCTGGTCTTATAGTAGTAGTAATTATACATTATTATTTGAACAGTAAACAACTTGTTTTTCTGCATTGTTTGTAACCACAGTGAAAGAGTTAGAATTTGTATTTGACCATCCATCAGTCTTGTTCCAGTGGTAACCCACTATTACATTAAACATGTTTTTATTTCAGTAAAAGGACCAATAAAAGCTTCTAGTTTGAAGGAAAATTGACAAAGAAAAGCAGGATGATGGCAGAAGTTGATTGTTGCTACCTATGTTTTGTCCAGTCTGAGMTGTATATATTTATGTAAAATTCACTGTTTTCTAAATGTTTTATAAACTACAAGCCATCTTTAGATGTTTGTACACAATTATAGGCTGAAAATGTGAAGTTCAACCTAAAACCAGAGTTCTATAAACTTTGAATGTTAGTGAATATGAGCTACTGACATGACTTTTTCAAGGTTTTTGTTTTTACCAACCTGTTTGAAGCATTCCTGTTCACTTTTTAAATACTTTGTCTCAATGTAAATGAAACGTTTTGCACATTAGCCAATAAATCTGTTTTCTGTTGTAGATCCTGTTTAAAGCCATGGTGTGTTGGAGACATTACCGTTAGCCAAACGGTATCTGTTACACTTTAAAATAGGAGGTACACACCTGTTTCTAACAGCTTCATTTCATTAAATTACTTTATTTTAGTCTGGTTTTGTGCAACGAGTTGTTTGACTCATTATCTATAAACATGAAACCAAAGATAAAAGCTTTATCTGCTTTATTGAATTAATTAACGACTGACAACTATTTAATTTGATATCTGTATTTTATGCAAAAATAGAATGAAAATAATTTGTTTATGGATTATATAGTACAAAACTATAACAATTGTCTGACTGTACTAAACCATTTTACATGATCCTTTGAAGTGTGATTACCTTCTGTGATTCTTTTTGCCAAATGTTTTAAATTCAACATGTTTTACCTTTGTTTTATTTTAGTTTTGACAAAATATTGCAGCTGGTTCTGTGAGAATATTTTAAACTGGAAAACAAGCTTAAATTGCTAACGTTTTGTCAAATGTAATGCAGTATTTGTWTTAATGGTATAAGTATTTCCCTGAGAAATAGAATAAATGCCAGACGCTCTAACAGATTGTGATCAGTATTTAAAGCCTCTTTCTTTCTTCTGATTTTGATTAGAGAACAATTTGTTCTCTTGCTGTTTTTGTTTTTTTCTTGGCGTTTGCATTGTTTTTGTGAATAGTTAGGTGAATTGTTTTGATGCTGGGTTTCTTAAGTTCCTGCTACCATTTGTCAGGTGGGCTAGCCTGGCCCCTGCCCTCTTACACAGTTATGCATGATTCTAATCTCCCTTCTCTGCACCTTGTAGGATTTATCCCATTAACATGGATTTTTCCTGTTAACATGGATTTATCCCGTTAGCATGGATTTATCCCGTTAGCATGGATTTCTCCCGTTAACATGGATTTATCCCGTTAACAATGGATTTATCCCGTTAACAATGGATTTATCCCGTTAACAATGGATTTATCCCATTAACATGGATTTATCCCGTTAACATGGATTTATCCCGTTAACAATGGATTTATCCCGTTAACAATGGATTTATCCCGTTAACAATGGATTTATC